TTTTTTTATTTCTTCCTGGACCCATGAATTGGGCAATTGGGTGTTCTTTAATTTCCATGAGTTTGTAGGTTTTCTGTAATTCGTGTTGTTGAATTCTAACTTTAAAGCATGGTGGTCTGATAAGATACAGGGGGTTATTTCAATTTTTTTGTACCTGTTGAGATTTGCTATGTTGCCAAGTGTGTGGTCGATTTTAGAGAAGGTTCCACGTGGTGCTGAGAAAAGAAGGTAAATTGTTTTGTATTTGGATGGAATGTTCTATAGATACCTGTTAAGTCCAATTGTGCCTTAACTTCTGTTCCTTTGTTTCTTTATTAAGTTTCTGTCTGGTGTTCCTATCCAGTGGTGAGAGTAGGGTATTGAAGTCTCCCACTATAAGTGTGTGCAGTTTTATGTGTGATTTGAGTTTTAGTAATGTTTCTTTTACAAACATGGATGCCTTTGTATTTGGGGCATAAATGTTCAGAATTGAGACCCTGATGGGTTTCTCCTGTGATGAGTAGGAAGTGACTTCCTTCATCTCTTTTGATTGATTTTAGTTTAAAGTCCAATTTGTTGGATATTAGGATTGCTACCCCCCCCCCCGCTTGTTTCTTGGGTACATTTGATTAGAAAATCTTTTTCCAATCTTTAATTCTTGGGTACTGTCTGTCTTTGAAGTTGAGGTGTGTTTCTTCTATGCAGCAGAAGGATGGATTCTGTTTTCTTATCCATTCTGCTAATGTGTGTCTTTTTATAGGTAAGTTAAGACCATTAATGTTGAGGGATATTAATGATTTTCTCATGTCCTCTTTGAGGTCCTCTATCATTTTCATGAAGATATTTTTAAGGTCATTCTCTTCTGGTTCATCTGCATTGTGATGTTCAGGTCTTGCTGGTGTATGGATCCTAGTCTCCGGTGGTGTCATATTGGGTTTTCTGTTGTTGAATGTACTTTTACACTGTCCTTTTCTCATCCTTTCTTCTGGTTGGAGTAGCAGGAATCTCTTCCTCTCCTGGTGGGTATGGGACCAAGGTAGATGCAAACAGTTCCAATACTCTGATGTCTGTCCTCTTGTCATGGATGGTGGCACTGTTACCAGGGCCTTGGCAGTGTCTGGGTGTGTTGGATCCTGCCACTGAGTTTGGATCCCGTGAGCAGGCCCCTGGAGTCACATGTTTCCAAGCAGGGCCTGGATGGATGGAGGCAGAACTGCCACTGGGTCCTCTTGCCAGTGCTTTTGCATCTATGGCACAGAGAGAGAGAGAGAGAGAGAGAGAGAGAGAGAGAGAGAGAGAGAGAGAGAGAGAGAAGATGGAGAGAGGGAGAGATGGAAGGAGGGAGAGAGAGAAACAGAGCTGGCAGAGAGTGGGGCTTTTTGTAGGTTGTTCAAAGCTGAAACACATTTTCTGATTTTTCTACCATGAGAGTCACTCAAGCCAACCTTGGCCACCTGTGGATGTAAAATCATCAGGGGACTGAACTTCTTTAAAGCTGCTTTGGTGCTGGGTGTCTCTGGTTCATGACACCCATTCTGCTGGCCCAAATGTTCCCCTGGGCATAGCTGGTCACTGACATGAGTAGAAACAACTTACTACATATACTAGGGACCTCTGAGAGGAGAAGAACAAAAGGCAAATGGGTTGTTGTTGGTGCTGCCCTATTGTGTTCAAGGTTGCTTTCCCCTTGGGTTCTTGAAGGCACTGCCTGGCTTCTGCTAGTGTTCTGAGGTGCCTGAGTACTAGGAAGAGAAGGTTTGAGTTTCAGACACTGTATATCTGTGGACAGTTCAACAGAAGCTGTGCTAGTGTGGTTATTCCAGTGTGATAGCAAGTGAATGGAGAAGGCTGTAAGCTCCAGGCTAGGGAGCTTTCCAGGGAGCCAAAGTGAGGCTGGAGTGTGGAGTCCTCTACTGAGTCCTGGGTGATCATTTCTGAAATAGCAGGAGCCTTGGAACCTGTGCGAGCCATTGTGGAGCTCAGATGCTTCCAGCTAGTGAGTTCTATGGGCATCTCAGCAGCTCTTGCACAGCTGACAAACACCACCTGAGGAGAAGTAGTCAAGTGTGTTGCCTCTGTGGCCAGAGAGACTCTCAGCCCCAGCAATACCGTGTGCATTAAAGCAGAGTTTCATTTTTCTTTATTATTACTATTATTATTTTGTGACAGGATTTCTCTGTGTAGCCTTGGCTGTCCTGAAACTTACCCTGCAGACAAGGCTGGCCTTGAACTCACAGAGCTCCACCTGCCTCTGCCTCCCAAGAGCTGGAGTTAAAGGCGTGTGCTACTACTACCTAGCCTCATATTTCTTTTTTTTTTTTAAATTTTCTCATGAGGCTTCTTTATTGTTAATTTCATATTTCTTTTTTTAAGATCTAAAGTTTTCTCTTCAGTTGTAAGGAGGGATGTGTGCAAGAATACAAATTTAGTTGATATCTTATTTAGATATGTCAAATATAGGCTAGGTCATGGCTTCTGCAGTAACTAAAAGCTCCTATATGTCCATGGTTTTTAATAGCACAAATGTGTTTTCTGACACAGCTGGCTGGAGCTCTGTTTCATGTGTCCTCATTCTTGGGCATCCATGCTAGGGGGACCCCTATCTATGCCAGGGGAAAGGAACCATGGCCTACCACACACCATCTTTTCAAAAGATACCTACTCTCCTGCTCACATTCCATCTGCCTCAGCTACTCCCATGAGCCCTGCTACCTATAGCCAGTGTGCTGTAGCCATGCATGTGCCCAGGGGCATCAGAATGCCAGGGTGCAGCCCACATGTTGACCACATTTAGCAAACTGAGACAGTTTGTAACTATGTGCCAGTAAAGATTAGACGAGAAAGAAGTAACTTACTTGGGTAAGAAACTTAGGTGTGCGGATTAAAATCAGACTCTCTCCTCTGTATATTTTATTCCCCCTCTGCATCTCTTCAAAGCAACATTGCCCTCCATAGGCAGTGCCATTCCCTAGAAAGGATGCCATTATTCTTGAGAACAAAGCCCCCAGGTGACCAGAGAGTAATTTGGAACTGGAAAGTGAGAGAGCAGATGCAGAAACAAAATGCTCCCACAACATAAAATGTGGAGGAACAAAGCAGATGGCATAACAAACAAACAAACAAAACATGTGAGTTAAACTTCATGAAATGGGTCCCTAATACCATCTGCTACTGACCCAGGGCAAACAGGACCCCTAGCCTAGAGGCTCCAATTTGCGGAGAGAATCATTCAGGCTGGCTGGCTTCCCTGAAGGGACTGGTCTGGCCCCCTGGGACCTGTCCTGGGCCTTCCAACACTCCTATTCCTAGAGGTCTGAGGAGAGGGAAGCTGTCCACCCGACTCATCCCTAGAAATAGAGAAAACCTTATTCTCTGACTCTTGGGTTGGGAATAGCTTCACTTTGCCACTCTACCTGATATCATTCTGTGTCCTGGAAATACGCACTCCATGGGTTTGTTTGTTTGTTTTGTCTTTGTTCCATGCTTGAGGCATAGCCACTTCACCTTGGGATGTTAGCCCCTAGAGCTGCCCAGCAGATCAGCTTCCAGAATGATGGTGTCAGAGGACTCTTGTTGGGAACGTTTCTAAGCCTGTCCTTCCTCTTGCTAATGGTTGTCATGGGACAGGTTCACCACGTTTTTGGGTTAGTTGAGACTGCATGCCATTGAATGGAGCCTGTGCTCCTTGGGACTTACAAGTTTACCCTTATGCCCCAGGCTGAGCCAAATCCTGGAGTCTCCCCTGGGCTAGCATAAGGAGTAATCTCCTGAGGCTAGGGCCCTGCGCCACCTATGACTATCTCCTTCTCTTCAGGAGCTTGAGCGGCTGAACCAGGTGCTGGAGGCTGAGAAGCAGCAGTTCGAGGAGGTGGTGCAAGAGCTCAGAGTGGAGCAAGAGCAGATCAAGAGGTGACGGCTGGTCCTGGGAGGGGCAATGGGGGATGCCCTGGCCCTTGGAGGGATAGCACAAGGGTAGGATTGCTCTGGTCCTGAGAGGGGCAATGGGGGATGCCCTGGCCCTTGGAGGGACAGCACAGGGGTAGGATTGCTCTGGTCCTGGGAGGAGCAATGGGGGATGCCCTGGCTCTTAAAGGGATGGGGGTAGGAGGGAAGGAGGATGCTCTATCCCTAGGAAGGGAAATGGGAGAAGTCATGCCCAGGTCCTGGGAGAGACAATAGGGGAGATTCCCTAACCCTGGGAGGGGCAGTGAGGGGACATGCCCTGGCCTGGTGAGGAGGCAACAGGGGGAGTACCCTGGCCCTGAGAAGGACAATGGGGATTTTCTGGTCCTGGCAGACCCACGTGCAGCCAGACCTGGAGAGGGCCTTACTAGGAAACACATATGGCCTGGTCTTCCCAATGCTCCAGGTCTTGAATATACCCAGAAAATATGCCCCCCACCCCCTGCTGCCTCAGTAGTCATTTCTCTTTTTTTTTTTTGTTTTTTGTTTTGTTTTGTTTTGTTTTGTTTTGTTTTGAGGCAGGGTTTCTCTGTGTAGCTTTGGAGCCTATCCTGGCACTCGCTCTGGAGACCAGGCTGGCCTTGAACTCACAGAGATCCACCTGCCTCTGCCTCCCGAGTTCTGGGATTAAAGGCGTGCGCCACCAACGCCAGGGCTATCAGTAGTCATTTCTTATATTTTTTGTTGTGAACCTAGCCTTTAATGGCTGAGCCATCTCTCCAGCCCTAGTAGGTCATTTCTAACCATTGATAATGATCTCTTGCATTGGTGTGACAAGAATATAAGGCATGGGTGAGTGCAAGCCAGCCTCCCTCAAGGAACAAGCCGCTCCTACCTATGTGAGAGTCACTTACCCAAGTTATTGGCACCAAGTTGGTGCCTAGAAAGTGCTGCTCACAAAGACCTCCAATATCCTCCATCTCTCCTGTGGTCCTTTCACATTTTAATGACACATTGGGATCTTTAATCTGATTTATGATTTACAGATCTAGTTTTCTGTTATAAGCATTAATTGCATTATCATCTCATGACGGTAGAACATGTATATATCCCCAACACAGATGACTCCGATGTAGTCTATCCAGAATTTGGAAACTACTCCTGTTATTGATGGTACTTGATGTCATACCATAGCCATTACCTGCATCACCACCACCTCCGCCACCATCTCCACCACCACCGTGGACTGTCAGTGATAGCCCAGAAACACTTGTGACAACCTTATTAAAGGGAACCATTTGGATATGCATTTGGGGGAGGGAGAAATACAGAGGCTCTTTTTCTTAATTTTTAAAGTTAGCATGCAAATAAGAGAATCTCCCTAAGTAAAAGACCAAGCACTTGTTAGACATTGAATTAAAAGCTAAGTCCCTGGCTTCAGGGCCTTACTCTATCTGCTAAGTGAACCCACCTTGTTCGGCTGAGCCTTTCTTGTAGCCCTGGCTCTGCAGCTGTTTTCAGTACCCAGTATTGCAGAGAACTGGCTGTCCAAGGGCCCTACTGAGCCACGTCAGGTATGACAAAAGCATGTTTACATGCAGAGGTTAGGAAGGGTACACGCTGTCATTCCAGCTCTCCATCCCCACAGGGAGCTAGAACTCACTGCAAGATGCCTCAAGGGTGTGGAGCAAGAGAAGAAGGAGCTGAGGCATCTCACAGAATCCTTACAGCACACACTGGAGGTGAGCAGGATGCTGGCCTAGGAGGCAAGCTGGTGGGTTGAGCTACATAATACTAGATTTCTCATGCTTCTGCCAGAGAAGGTACCTGCAGGAGAATGAGCATGAAGGGGAGTTTACCTAAAGGAACCTGTCTGTGGATGGTTGGGAACTCTAGCTGGCACATGAAACCCAAAGCACTGACTGCTTCTTCCCAGACCCAGAACAAACATCCCAGCTTGCCCTTGTGATGACTGTGGCCTCAGGAAACCTGCTTTCTATAGTGCTGGTGTTATACCAGAGGCAGGATTGATTAGAGTGGGCGATGGAGTCACTCACCACATCCTTCTGTGGTTCCTTCACTTAGCTGCTCCTGGGTGAAATTGCGCATAAAGGGAAATCAACTTCCAGGTCACCTTCATTTGATACAAGAGACCGAGAGGGGGAGGGGCAAGAAGCATGTGTCAAGGACAGAGGGCAAACTTCTTAGTGTAGCATGCAAGTACAGCCCTCCCCAGCCTTTCCTCCCCTCCTGCCCCTCCACCCCCTGCTCAAAGACACTCCAGCCCCTGCTCCAACCACTGAGCTCCTGTCCCTAAGGAAAACAAGCTTTCTTATTCCGCACACCTCTGCCCTACTGTTGCTTCTATACAACATATCCTTTCATCTCTTCTTTGGAGAACCATTTGCCTTTAGACTCAGCCAAAATATCTCTTTAGATCTCTATGCAGACGCTTCTAGCTGTCTTTCTAGCCATCCGTCATGGTGGGTGGATGAAAGACCCGAGCTAACATGGGGTTACCTCATTAAACAACTACAATAAAGCCTCGTGTAGTTTGCATCAAAAAAAAGATCTCTTTGGTTAAGTTTCCTTGATTCTTCTAGGTAGGTATTTGCTCTGTTTGCATGCATTTTACACATCTGTTATAGGATTAATACTGTGGGTTGTATTTTCAAAACTGTGGACTTCACTTGGCCATATCTTAACAGTTTCCCAAAAGTTCAGCACCTGAAGTGAGCTTGGGACCAAGGCTTTGGGACCTGGCCCTGATAAGTACCATCTCTATTGGAAGTCACATTGGGTTTCTCCTTGTCTGTCTGTCTTGATGGAGGAGTAACCTGGCCATGTTGTAAGAAAGGCGATCTTAGAATGAGGCATGCCCATCGTGGAGAACTGAGGGAAGAGTAGATCACTCCCTGGAATTGCCAGGAGACCAGGGCAGCCATGCTGTCGAACTAACCCGTGATTCTTCTCACCCTTCCCTGCCTTTGTTCCAGGAACTCTCCATAGAGAAGAAGAAGACCCTAGAGATGCTGGAGGAAGATAAGAACCAGCCACAGCCATTGACCAATGAGAGTGAGCAGCCACTTGCCAGTGATGGTCTCCATAGCAACCTCAGGCAGATCGAAGAGCGGATGCAGGAACTTTTGGCAGAGAAGCTTCTGGCAGAGAAGCGGTGAGTCACCCGAGACCACCAGCAGCTTAGGAGCTGTGACTGCCCTCAAGTTACACAACTGGACTTGAGTTCCAGTTGTCATTGATGAGATGGGTCACCTACTTCCTTTTTGCCTATGACCTGGCTTTCCCAAAGCTGACTTGACAAACCATTCAGAGCATCATTGAGACTTCTGAACAGTGCCTGTGGCCAGCCAGCAGGTTTCCTTAGCTTCTATCTACCCAACCCATGAAGAAACAGAGCCTCACTGGGGTCGGAGGACTTCCTGAGGTCAGAGAAGTAACAGTCCCTGAACCTCTAAGCCTAGGGCTCCCATCACTCCACACCATCCCTCTCATACCCATCTGACTGGACCCGGAAAGGACTCAGCCTCTCTCTAGCTGTCTCTAGCAGGGGCAACTCCCTTTGTAGGCTAGCATTGGGTAAGCACCCTTCCTGCCCACAGGATGAAGGAGAACGAAGAGCGCTCACGGGCCCTGGAGGAGGAACGGGAGTTCTACTCAAGCCAGTCTCAAGCCCTGCAGAACTCCCTTCAGGAGCTGACCGCAGAGAAGCAGCAGGCTGAACGGGAGCTCAAGGTGTGCAGCCCGTGCCCTGGGCCCTTCATACCGCTGGGGACTCCTGACCATCTCTGTACTTCACAGCTGCCCTAAATGCCCCTCCTAGTATGTCCAGCTGGCCAGATTCAGGGATGTGTTTATCACAAGAGGTAGCAGTCTCTCTATCATTGACAGACAATTGTTAGGAACAGGGCTGTGCCCAGCCATCTGGTAAGGTGTGGAACCAAGATGTGGAAACTTCCATCTACCCGCATTGAGCCCAAGATGATTGGGAAAGGTGTCCTAGCCATTTTTCTCATTGCTGAGATGACGTTCCTGTCAAAAGTGCTAAAGTTCATGGTTTGAGGGGATGTAGTCTGTCATGACAGGGAAACCATGGTGGTGGGAGCATGAGGCAGCTAGTGGCATTGTGTCTGCAGTCGGGAAGCAGAAAGATGAATCTATGCCTTTTCCCCTTTCACTTTTATTCGGTCTGCTACCCCAACCCATGGCACGGTGCCACCCACACTCAGGGTGCATCCTCTACCCTCAGTTAAACCTTTCTGGAGATGCCCTCACAGACACACCAGGGGTGTATCTCCTAGGTGATACTAACTGGGGTCCAATTAGCAAAGAAAATAAGCCATCACGGAAGGCTTCTGGGGAGGTGGAGACTGCTTCCTGCACTCGGCTTCCCTCTTGCTTGTCCCTTCATCTAGGCTGAAGTGAAGGTACGCATGGACCTGGAGAGACGACTCCGGGAGGCAGAGGCAGCCTTGCGGAGCCTGGAACAAGGGCTCAATTCCAAGGTTCGGAACAAGGAGAAGGAAGAGAGGATGCGGGCTGACGTGAGCCACCTGAAAAGTAAGACCTCCCTCCGGACCCAGCCTCAATCCCAGAGCTCAGCCCCATAAGCCAAGCCCTCTAGAGCCTGGAACAGGGCCTGCATGTGTGAGGTGGCGCTTCCTGGAGTTCCTTCCCCAGACACTGCCTCTTTGTGGCAGCTGGACCTGAGGCGAGGGGATGGGAGGAAAGACTGAAGTTTTGTCCTCTTTTCCAAAGCTCAGAGCTCTGTCTCCAGCAGATTTCTTTATGATAGCTACAGGTTGTGGTTAGAGGAGGAACTGTGTTCTGTAATGGATAGACTGATATGTCCCCCACCCCAAAGGAGTACTTAGAAGGGCAGGTTCAGAGAAAGACGCAATCAGCTGCTCCTTGCTGTCACCACAGAGTTCTTCGAGGAGTGCATCCGGAATGCGGAGCTGGAGGCCAAGATGCCGGTCATCATGAAGAACTCCGTGTACATCCATAAGGCGGCCACTCGCCGCATCAAGAGCTGCCGTTTCCACCGTCGCCGGTCCAGTACTTCCTGGAATGACAGTGAGCGCCCATATGCCTCTGTGGGGCCGGGTGGCACAGGCTGTTGGTGACAAGGCAGGAAGAGGGCAGGTTTGAGAACAAGTAAACGAGACTGGGCAGTCTGTCCTTGAAACTGGCTCTACCAGCCTTGGGCAGAAGGGACCAAGTGAAGCTCAAGAGCATGTCGGGCTGAGACGAGGGAGGAAGGGCGGGCTCAGCATGGGGGAGTGCCATTCGTGGGGCAATGGGTCTTTGTCTCCCCAGTGAAGCCATCCCAGTCCTTCATGACCTCCCAGCTAGAAGCCAACAACATAGAAGAGCTGAAGGAGGTGGCCACGCGGCTAAGCCGAGACCAGCGCTTCCGGGAATCCATCTACCACATCATGGCCGCCCAGCCTGGGGCTTCTGCGCTCCCCCGGGGTGGAAAGTGATGGGAATTCCTCTCCCAGCTCCCATCAGGGAGGCCTGATTCCCCTTGGCTCCTTTCCATCAGAGTACCACTATGGGGAGGGGTACCCTCATTCTCAAAGGAAGTGGGCGATACATCCCTCAGCTTCACCGGGAACCCTGACCTTGGAGACCAGAAGAGAGTATTGGAGCCCCTGGAACTGGAGTTATGGACGGCTGTGAGCCTCTATGTGGGTTCTGGGATTGAATCTGGGTCCTCTGGGAGAGTCACAAGTGCTCTTAACCACTGAGCCATCTCTCCAGGCCTGAACCCTGACTTTGGGTCTACACTAAGTAGGTGGGTCCACACTGAGTACTACCTGGTTGTGGTGATGAGGCCTGGCCATGTGTGGTATCTGTTGGTCAGGAAGAGAACATGCCTATTTCACAAGGGCAGGCACTGGCTGAGGACTGAAAAACTTTCCTGGTACCCTCCATACCTATCTGTGCTGCTGCTCTGTCTTTAACCACAGAACACCCCCTAACTCTCTCTTTACCCCTGTTCCTCCTATACAAGTGACCTCTCTCACTTACTCCATGCCCCTGGAGAGGGAAGAGCAGGTCCTAAGACACAACCCGAGGTTCATAGTATCCTATTTCCTGGCAGCTGCCCTGGCTATAGGGCCACCCAGGCCTCCCCTCCTATTTGCAAGTGAGCTTCTCCATATACAGCCTCAACAACCTGCTAAAGGGAGCAGGAGAAGTGTGATCACACCCCATCCTTTCCCAGCCCTGATTGGGAGCTCTCAACCCTGGGGCTTTCCCAAAGTATACACAGCAGGATCAGGAGTGAAGAAGCCAAGCCTCCTATATTATCCACAGTCCCGAAGAGCTGGAGCTGCTTCAGGCTCTTGTGAGTCTGCTGCTTGGAGGTCATAGAGAGGCCTGTCCCCTTCCCAGCTGTCTCACCTTGTTGTCTCCTCTCCCTGAAGCAGCTTCAACTCAGTGAACAAATGCAGCCATGAGCCCACCACATGGGGAGCCAGTAGCCACTGGTTGGTTCAGTGTTGTTGTCATAGCAACACGGTAACACTGCAGATTTTGTGGAAGACCACTGCTTTTCAGGAGGCCAAGGACTGTGGAACGTGTTCCTCATCCGTGGCAGTCTTCTGGGCTCAGAAGCTGCTGTGTCTATCATTCTCTCCAAACAAGACTGGGAGAGGGGTGGAGATGTGGTTCGGTGGTGAAGAACACTTGATTCTCTTACAGAGGACCCAGATTTGGTTCCCAGCACCCACATGGTGCCTCACAACCATCTGTAATTCCATTGCCAGGAGATGCAGCACCCTCTTCTGACCTCCACATGGTGCATGTACCTACATACAGACAAGACATTCATACACATACAATAAATCTTTACAAACTGTTTAAAAGGGGCTGGGTGCTGAGACACTGGTGGAACTAAGGTGTCCTTTTTTTTTGTCCTTCAGAAGACTTAAGTGTTCTGAGGGAGGGACAGGAGGAGCAGCCCCTGGGGAGCACCCTTGCCCAGGCCCAGGCTACCCTGTTCTCAGTGGTCCCTTCTTGGTAGGGGTGGTCTCAGGTAGGGTGCTTTGGGATCAATGCATTTGAATGTAAATATAAAGCTTTTAAATGTGTATAAACGTGCATAAACCTGGAGCTTGTCTATATGATATGTATGTGGAGTGGATTTTGAAATGAAGAGTTATAAAACCAAGATTACAGGTTTTGTTTGTTTTTAAGGAATTAGTAATGGCTTGCTCTTGGGGAAAATATCAAATGCATTTGGTTTTCCTGGGCAAGCTAATAACCAGCATTGGGGGTGGGGCACTGCTATAACAAGAGCATCTGCAAGTGTCTATTGTATCCTGTTTTGTTTATTTATTCAGGGTCTTACATAGCGCATATCAATTAAACTCATTGATACTGAGGATAACCTGTTTCCATCTCCTGAGGGCTGGGCTTCAAGCATACTTACTAGACAACACTCTACCCTGAACTGCATTCCCACCCAGACTAAGTAATTTATGAAGAATGGAGGTTGCTGGCCATTCAAGAGGCTGAGGCAGGGGGCCCACCACAAATGTGAGATCAAGTCAGTCTGGGCCAAAGACTGAGACCCTGTCTCAAGACAAAGTCAACAAAATCCACTGCCATGTTACCCCAGTCCTGCAGAGCCCTCTTAAATCTCAGGGGTTCCTACTATTAACACTGTTATAATGGCAGTTAAGTTTTAATGTGAATCTGGAAGGAGACAGACTCAAATCTCATCAGGGCAGTCTGAGCACAAGTACCAATTCCCTAGTTTATTTCTTCCTATTCTCGCGCCTCAGGCAAGTCTGGGTTATCTCCAACCATACCTAACACAGTATATGTACATGCAGCATCCCTATATGAAAATCTGTAGGGCTGGAATTACTTACTGGAAACATACTGACATGATCTACAACATTAATATTATGTAGCAATTTCTAAAAGTAACTTATCCATTGCCCAATTAATTAAATATGTTACTTCCTGCTGTATCTCCAAAGTAGGCAGTGGAGTCATTCTTAGAGAGATGCTGCCCCCTTCAGGCCACCCCTGGAATTGTAGCGTCACTTCCTGCATGACCCAGCTGAAGAACTCTCCACAGCACATCTCCCAGGACTGACTTCTTATTAACTAACTGAAAAATATGTGTTTCCACCCGAGGTCCTGGATGTCCCCACGTTATAGGACAACCATCAGGATTTTCCTCTGATTTGAGTGTAGACCAAAGGGACAGCCTAACAGAGACAAACTGCCTATTAGCTTCAATATCCACACCAGGAATGGACAGTCAACCTGCTCTGGTGAGAATTTATGCTTTGTTTCATAATCAGAAGGAGGGCCAGAAATAAGTTACTTGACTTGACTGGCTTCCTAGCTGAGGGTGGGTGATATGTGGCATGCCAGGCTGCCCTGTGTGTACTGCTTCCCAGCATACCTGGTGACCCCCCATTTCCCTATCATGAATGTTCCTATGAGGATAGTCATGTGGTGGTCACTTGCTTCTAATACTTTCCCTCAGTTTTAATGTCTTTTCTCATTTCTATGATCAAATACCCGACACAAACCAAGGAAGGGCTTATTCTGGCTTGCAGTTGAGAACACAGTCCCTTATGGTGGAGAAGTCATGGCAACAGAAGCTTGGGGCAGCTGGTTGTGACAGTGCCACCTCAAACGAGAGTCTTCCTCTTGCGACAATCTATACCAAGAGAGATCCCAAATAGGAATTCTCCACTTCTCTCCCTGTGTCCATTGTCTGACACTAAGCTTTGCTCTCTAGTTGTTGAACAACATAGAAAACATCGTATAGGAAAGGATGGAGGAATAGCCTGACTTAATTTTTTTAAACCAGAGTTTATAAGGGAAGAATTTACTTTATTGAACCCTAGTGACCCAGAATAGCACTCAAAACTGTAAACAGATGTTATCAACTTATAGCCACATAGTGTTTCCAACATTTACGATGGACAATTAAATCATTGTTTCCAATGCTGCCATTTCATCTGATGATTTAACTAATCTCTCTCTCTCTCTCTCTCTCTCTCTCACACACACACACACACACACACACACACACACACACACACACACACACAGCTCTGAGTTGTGGCAGAGTCACAAAAGAGAGAGAGGGAATAATATGGTCTGAGAGTAAAAGCGTGCATTCAGTTTAGCTTGTAAAAGTGGGTTACAGGGCAAGTCCAAGGCCTAGTAAGGTTGACTACATTGTTTTCTTAAAGCAAAACAAACAGGCTGAATACACAGTGGGGAAACAGGTTAAGTACATAGCTTTAAATGGTCTCCAGGCATATTATTAACTTGGTTGCAAGGCCAGCAAAAGTTCAGCCTCTGAAGTCAAGAGTGTTCCAGAGAAAGCTGTTCCCACAGCTGTCACACTGCCTTTGTAGTCAGGAAGCAGAGAGCCAGGAATGCTACAGGTTAGCCCCAGGCTTCAGCCCATAGAATCACCCCACCCACATTTTGGGTGGATCTTCCAGCCTCCATGAAGTTAATCTAGATAATCTCTTACAGACACAGAGGTTTGTTTCCATGGTGATCCTAAATCCCAGCAAGTTGATGGTATTAACCATCTTACCACTCAAAGACATGTTAAAGGAGATGGCAAGAGACTTGGGAAGCACCCATATTCCCACCCAGGGAAGGACCAGTTGAAGGGACTCTAGCCAGCCCCAGCATGATAAACATGGCTCTGGCAGGCCTTGCCCTTCTCCCCTATTTTGCCTGACTAAAAACCATTGGATTACATTCCTAAAGCTAGTCACCAAGGTCTGTTCCCTTAGTTGGCCACTTACTCTGCCTGATGCTGACTACCTGATGATGAAAGTATTGAAGTCCTAATTTACATGCCCAATTAAAATTAAACACCTCATCCTAACACAGGGTTTCCATTTCCCTTATGAACTGTCATTTTCCTATGGGCCATGTCTGCCTCCTCTCTATCCAGAGACAGTCCTTTGTCCTCCACTCTGGGACAAATACCCCTTCCCTCTCTCCCTTGTCCCCCTCCCCTTCTTGCTCATTTTCTATCTCCTGACTGTCTCTTATTCCCTGCCCTTTGTCCCTTTGGAGGGAAGAAATCTCTTTTGTGCTGAGAACCTGGTCTTGGGGTGTCTTGAGCTGACTCTGAGGTTCCTGTCTCCATCTATGGAAGGAAGTAATACCTTCAAACTATTACTCCCTCACAGCTTAGCCTGACCTGGGCAGCCTGTTGGAGGACCGGTGCCCCAGCCTCAGGAGCAGCCTAGGGTGTCACGTGTGGCCAAGGCTTTGAGAGGGGATAAAGTTGTTTTGCCTGGTAGAAAGTGAAAGCCACTCCACCCAATGGCGTCAAATGAAGGTCTGTGGAAAGTTTAGGAACAAGCCAAACCAGGAGTCCTGGGTTGGAGATCTGATAAACCAAACTCCACAGTGACAAATCTCTCTCTCCCGAGCTCCACAGTTGGGAATGCAGTCTGTTGTGTCTCAGTGGCTTTGACTTGGGAGTACCTGGTGATCAGGTGGGGAGGCCAAGGTGACTCAGGGCTGCTCAGAGACAGACACTGCACATCCAGGTGTCGAAGACCAAGCTGCATTTTGGGATCCATGGTCCTAGGGGACCTGATACCTGCTTTCAGTCTTCGAGTCCTACTGTTGCCCTGCCCAGCCATGGCTGGTGGGCTTGGGGTGTCTGCAAATAGCCTGTCTTTTGCTAAGCAGTGCCTGAGCTGAGGCACTAAGGACCCAGGGAGGTCCTTAACTCTCTCCCCAGTGCCATGCAGAGGTGGGTGGGAAGGCCCTGACGGCGAAGGTCAAGCCTCTGCTGGTCACTTGCTGGCCACGTGGCATCAGAGAGCCAGTATTTATAATGATTTCTGTATCTACGTGTTTTTACTTGGCAGGAGAGAGGCCCCTTCAATCTCATGAGGATACCTGGAGCCCTGGTAGCCATGAACTTCCATAATCCAGTATTTTACCACTCCGTAGCCATAGAAAACTGGCTGTGACTGCCACTAGAGGTCAGGAAAACAGGCCTCAGGGTGAATGTACTGGTCCATTGAACTCAGTGCCTCACTGTCCTCAAAATGATCTGAAGTAGAAAAATTAGAGGTTGTGGTGGCACACACCTCTAATCTCACCACTGGGCAGGTAGAGGCAGGCAGATCTCTATGAGTTTGAGGCCAGCCTGGTCTACATAGTGAGTTCCATAGTAGCCAAGGACATACAGTGAAACCCTGTCTTAAATATCAGTTAATTAATTTTGGCCTTGATATAAGGACAGGAAAGACAACCAATTTATCACCTCAAGGAAAAAGTAATAATTGTCACATGTAAAGTTTTTGTAGTAAATAGAAGACACCCATTGTTGCCGTCACCCCGGGTCTGAGGCTGTTTACCCCATCTTCATTCTGTCAGTGTTTATCATGGTTCTATCGTGTGGAGTCATTCCATGGACTTGGTTCTATCTTTTACTGTTTTGTTGTTGTTGTTGTTGTTGTTTAATTGTGGTAAAATGTGCAAACAAGGGCTGGAGAGATGGCTCAGCAGTTAAGAGCACTGACTGCTCTTCCAGAGGTCCTGAGTTCAATCCCCAGCAACCACACCTATAACCCATCTATAATGAGATCTGGTGCCCTCTTCTGGCCTGCAGGTGTACATGCAGGCCAGAAGAGGGCACTCATATATAAAATATATGAGTACTCATATATAAAATATAAATAAATAAAATTTTCAAATATTTGCAAACAAAATTTATCGCTTGAACCATTTCCACATTGATGAGTGATGTCAAGTACAGTCACACTATTGTGCCGTCACACATTCCTGGATGCTCTCATTTGGCAAAAACTTTAAACCCAGTAAGAAATAATTTCCTCACTTTATTCCTTGTACTGGCAACCACCATTCTGCCGTCTGGCCTTGACAACTTTAGATACAGATAGCTCAAGTAAGTGAGGCTACGCAGTCTTTGTCTTTTTCTTTGCACATTTTTATTTATTGTGTGCTGTGCAGGACACATGTGGAGATCAGAGCATAGTGTGCTGGAACCGCTTCCCTCCTCCCACCACGTCAAACACAAGTCATCAATTTTCATGTTTGATCCCACTGAGCCATCTTGTGGGCCCAATGTTTGTTTTTTGTCAAAGATTTATTTTATTTTGTGTTTGTGACTGTTTTGCCTGCGTGTATGTGTGTGTGTGTGTGTGTGTGTGTGTGTGTGTGTGTGTACAGTGTGTTCATGCCGGGTGCCCGAAAGGGGCCAGTAGAGGACATGGGATCTCCTGGAAC